GACTAGACTATAGACTAGACTATAGACTAGACTATAGACTAGACTATAGACTAGACTATAGACTAGACTATAGACTAGACTATAGACTAGACTATAGACTAGACTATAGACTAGACTATAGACTAGACTATAGACTAGACTATAGACTAGACTATAGACTAGACTATAGACTAGACTATAGACTAGACTATAGACTAGACTATAGACTAGACTATAGACTAGACTATAGACTAGACTATAGACTAGACTATAGACTAGACTATAGACTAGACTATAGACTAGACTATAGACTAGACTATAGATAGACTATAGACTGACTAGAGACTATAGACTAGACTATAGACTAGACTATAGACTAGACTATAGACTAGACTATAGACTAGACTATAGACTAGACTATAGACTAGACTATAGACTAGACTATAGACTAGACTATAGACTAGACTATAGACTAGACTATAGACTAGACTATAGACTAGACTATAGACTAGACTATAGACTAGACTATAGACTAGATAGACTAGACTATAGACTAGACTATAGACTAGACTATAGACTAGACTATAGACTAGACTATAGACTAGACTATAGACTAGACTATAGACTAGACTATAGACTAGACTATAGACTAGACTATAGACTAGACTATAGACTAGACTATAGACTAGACTATAGATAGACTATAGACTAGACTATAGACTAGACTATAGACTAGACTATAGACTAGACTATGGACTAGACTAGAGTAGACTATAGACTAGACTATAGACTAGACTATAGACTAGACTATAGACTAGACTATAGACTAGACTAGACTAGACTAGACTAGACTAGACTAGACTAGACTAGACTTGACTAGACTTGACTTGACTAGACTTGACTAGACTAGACTAGACTAGACTAGATAGACTAGACTAGACTAGACTAGACTAGACTAGACTAGACTAGACTATAGACTAGACTATAGACTAGACTATAGACTAGACTATAGACTAGACTATAGACTAGACTATAGACTAGACTATAGACTAGACTATAGACTAGACTATAGACTAGACTATAGACTAGACTATAGACTAGACTATAGACTAGACTATAGACTAGACTAAGACTATAGACTAGACTATAGACTAGACTATAGACTAGACTAGACTAGACTATAGACTAGACTATAGACTAGACTATAGACTAGACTATAGACTAGACTATAGACTAGACTATAGACTAGACTATAGACTAGACTATAGACTAGACTATAGACTAGACTATAGACTAGACTATAGACTAGACTATAGACTAGACTATAGACTAGACTATAGACTAGACTATAGACTAGACTATAGACTAGACTATAGACTAGACTATAGACTAGACTATAGACTAGACTATAGACTAGACTATAGACTAGACTATAGACTAGACTATAGACTAGACTAGACTAGACTATAGACTAGACTATAGACTAGACTATAGACTAGACTATAGACTAGACTATAGACTAGACTATAGACTAGACTATAGACTAGACTATAGACTAGACTATAGACTAGACTATAGACTAGACTATAGACTAGACTATAGACTAGACTATAGACTAGACTATAGACTAGACTATAGACTAGACTATAGACTAGACTATAGACTAGACTATAGACTAGACTATAGACTAGACTATAGACTAGACTATAGACTAGACTATAGACTAGACTATAGACTAGACTATAGACTAGACTATAGACTAGACTATAGACTAGACTATAGACTAGACTATAGACTAGACTATAGACTAGACTATAGACTAGACTATAGACTAGACTATAGACTAGACTATAGACTAGACTAGACTAGACTATAGACTAGACTATAGACTAGACTATAGACTAGACTATAGACTAGACTATATACTAGACTATAGACTAGACTATAGACTAGACTGTAGACTAGACTATAGACAAGACTTTAGGCTAGACTATAGACTAGACTATAGACAAGACTACAGAGTAGACTATAGACAAGACTTTAGGCTAGACTATAGACTAGACTATAGAGTAGACTATAGACTAGACTATAGACTAGCCTGTAGTCTTGACTATGGACTATATTCACATTAGGGCGGACCCTTCTGTATGAAAAAATAATGAATACTTAGTTCATTCTAAGATACCATTTCTTAATATTTTTATCCTAGATCTGTATTGGTCCATAATCGGTGATAGCTCCTATATAAGGTCCATTTCATAAAATCACTTAAATGCACATAACTAATTTAGAAATAAAGATATTGTAATAATAGTCGACATAAATACGACTTGTATATACATATATCGCTCTGCAAAATATTATTCGAATCGGTCCACAATTGGACATAGCTCCATATTTTATTACTGAATGAAGATATCGGTATGAAATTCATCGTTAATGTGTTTTTCAAATCGGTCTGGAAGTGGATTTGTTTAGAC